TAATTGCAACAGCTGGTTAGGTTTGATGAAGTAATTAATGGGGAGGGTTCAAATAGCCAGCTTCATGGGTCATTGCAACCCCCTGCCAACTAGTGGAAGAGTCCCAAGATGACTGGGTGGAGTGAACTTTGTGACCTCATCATTCACAGAAACAGGGGTATACATGCTCAAGGCTCTCATTGCCTAATTAAAATAACTCACCCATGCATTAGCATCTTCCCTATCTTTGAATGGTACAACCCAATGTATCTGCTTGTCAGTATATCATTGATACACTTCCAACGGACCGACACATTGGTCTAATAGGTAAAGCCTTCTGTGGCCTAAATGTATCAATTACAGAGTCTACCTATATCTTGCAATGACACCCCCAGCAAATAATGGTATATCCTTTGTATCAAATTAACCACATGACAAGCTGGTCTCTTCCATTATAAGAAATAGGTGACACTGCTAAGAAGGATGGTAGGTGAATACAAACATGGCTGCAGGTGTTCTTATTATTTTAATGTTGAGACTTTTTAAGCTTTGGAAAGAAATGAATAGAGTGAGACAGATACAAAATTAGGTATGTAACAACAACAAATAGTTGTCTTCACAATACAATAGGTGCTTATTTTTACTGATTATATTTTTTAAAACGGGAACGTTTGCTTCAATAAAAGTCTATTAACAAATTATCACAAAAATTTACCTTTCAAATAATTTTGGTACAAATGTTAGTTTCATGAGGCTAACTGTTCATGATGAAAATGCACACATTTTCTTCCTTTTTACAGTGTTTTGAATACAGTAGCTTTATGTATGTTGATTTATTTTCAGTCCCAAATAAATGTATAAATATTTGTTTCTACCAAGATAAAGGGATTAACTAATTGATTTTGGCAGCTCTGTCATACACGGTTCCTCCTATCTCACACAGCAAGGCTAATCTGGTCTATTTCAAGATAAGCAGACAAAGAGTAATGGTTGGGTTTAATTGTTACCAATAGCACTGTCAGGCGCTGTACTATAACCCGTGCAAAGTAACAGAATGCATAGGTTAGACTATTTTTCTGACATTTCCAAAAAAAATTCAATTTCTGACATTTTGTCTACTTCCATCTCTCTCTTGACTACTTCCTCTTTTGTTTATCTTACTCTTTCTCTTCCTCTTTCTATACTCATAACCGGAATTACAAGCAATACTTGCTTTCTTACCATTAGCTCAAATAAACAACACTAAATATACCAGTAATCAACCCAACAATATGCCTGTACTTGTGTCACCGTTTGGCATCATTTCATCCAGCTGGTTCCCATGGTTTTTAATCTCATGCTCCTCAACTCTCTCCATCCTATTATCTCTCTTGGTACCTCTTCATTAGCCCTAGCGAGATCTTAGACTGATCAGCAAGTACTTCTTGAGAAAGTCAACTACATTTTTAAAGTTCACCTAAGTTAATTAATAGTCCAAGTTGAGCAATCCCTACATAACGAAAAATTAGCTCCAGCTGTACAGCATTTTTCATGATGCAATAATAAAAAAGATAGTTTGTTCTTATATAGCACTTTTCAGGACAGCAGGCCCTCACAAAGCGTACTCACCAGCAAATTATACTGCTAGTTTTAGCCAAATAGTAGGACATATCATATATTACTTGGGATAATAGGTTGTGCTAAAATCTCAGGCAGAATGATGATATCTGGGAGATGCAAAAACTCACATCTCCCTGGTGAGAATTAGCCTGCTATTCGCATCTTGCATTGCACATTAGCTTGAGCTAGTTGTGATTGGGCTAATTAATTTCCCCTGGATCAGGGTCAGTAGGCTTTTTTAGAATCTTACTTGAGATAATGAAAGCAGGTCAATATTTCTCTTTACCTTGCATACTTCAACAATATACACATTAATGAGAATACCTGTGGTCGTACTATGGTACTTTATGATAGACAGTGAGAAAATCTGGTGTAGGACGTTGAGCTAGAAGTATCTAGAAGAAGAAGAAGAGCTAGTTGTGCTGGGCTAATTTTCCCCTGGCTTAGAATTAGCGGGCTGTTTTCCTAATGAACTTTGCCTGATGAAAACAGGCTATTTTTCATCTTATCTTGCATACCTCAACATGACGCACATTAATGAGAATACTCTGCCCATGGTGCTCTGTGATTGATAATGACATGTCTGGCGTCTGGTATGAAATACTGGGGACGCAAGGCTAATTCACAGGGAGCAGAAGGGTACATAACCCAGGAGATTACCATGAAGGATGGAGAGAGAGAGGGAGAGGGAGAGGGAGAGGGAGAGGGAGAGGGAGGGAGGGAGGGAGGGAGGGTGGGTGGGTGGGAGGGAGGGAGGGAGAGAAAATAGAATGCAAGAGAATGGAATATAGAGATATTGAAAGAGAATTAGAAAAACAGCAAAAGATTTACATGCCTATAAGTATAGGAAGGGATGGAGAAAGTCTGGAAATGACAAAAAAGCAGGGTGCCATGTATCAACTACATGCATACAATTTTAATCTTTTTCTTTTTTTCTTTCTGTTACTCCCTGAATATTGATATTGTTGTTGTTTTGGTTTATAGGTGTTTATCATTCAGAAGTGAATATTTACGCCATAATGATATTGATATTGGGTCATTTTCAAATGCCTTTCCTACAAGGCTTTATTTTCTCAAAAAATATTAATAATGATAACGGTGCTTATAAAGCGCTTACCACCATAGTCTCTAAATTATATTATTTTCCCAAAAGCATTCAAGGATCATCAATACATTGGTTTTTAAAGTTTAAAAAAAATATGCGCAGGCAAAACAAATTTTCTCATTTTCTATAAGAGAGAGAGAAATAAAGAGTTCCTTTCTACGACAATCTTTAACATGAGTGGAGGGTCTGAAAATTACAGACTACCGAAAGCAAGAACATAACAATTGCAAAGGACATCCAGGTCTTATTGTTACTGGATAACCAGCTACATACAGACGTCTCCAAGAAAACTGCCATGAAAATGCAAATCCTAGAAGAAAGAAAACAAGTTCTGAATGGTAAATACAACCTATTAAAACTCCAGACTTAAATCCCCACACTTTCCAAAGAAACTGAGGCTGATAGACTCTCATAATATGACACTTCTTGAGACAGGGTCAGGCATCGGAACGATGGACACAAAAACAAGAATTTGAACAATGTCTCAAGTAGCGTCAACCGTGCATTCCGAGAATTTTCAGAATTCTGGCCAGAAACTCACAGTGAATAGATTGTGTTCTTGTGTAGTGTGGAATAACAGAGTAATATATATATACCCAGAGTTGTAAAACTAAAAACTTGTGTGCACATGAAAATCGCTTTTATTTACTGTGTTTAAAAATATAAAAATATGTGTCTGAATTCTTGTTTAGAAATGTATCCCCATACATACATACATTTTGATATTTATATAGCGCCTTTACAAAAACATGCTCAAAGCACATCAGTAAATAAAACAGAAATGTTTTGCTCTCCAATTGCATACACTGTAAATTTGTTGTGTAAAGTTGTGTAAAGCTGTGTAAGGTAATTCAAAAAAGTGTAAGGTACTTTTACTAGGACAACAAAAGATGCTTTCATCTTTAAGAAAAACTACAAGTTTGTCTTTCTCTACAACGTTCTTTCCTCTGTACAAGAAGGTAATACTTCTTTTTCTTTCATTCGGTGTGAAATCTAGGCATTATCTTTGTGGGTTTCTCAAATAATCATGTATGACTTCCTGCCAGTGTTTCTTGTTTTGACAGTAAATTGTATCCTTTCTCTGTACAAATTTAAAATGGCATGGGAAGGTACCAACTTTAGGATTAACAACAAACTTCCATTCACATTCCTGATTGGTCAGTGTAGCTACTTCGACTTCCTTTCATGTTTCTATTACACTATTGCCCATACAATTGGAATAGATACCACTTTCCATTTGCTAAGAGCTAAAAGGGCAATAATAACTCCATGTATAATACGCCCTTCCGGCTCTCAACACAGGACAAATTCAATACATGATTTTAATAGACCTACAGCATACTTAAGAAACATAATTCCCCCCTTACTGTCTAATAATGATTTCAATACTGTCATTATTTGGCTGAAAGCCAGAAGGGCATTAGCTATGTGTGACATCATGGGTCAATGCCCTTTCGGCTCTCTACAGATTATTCATAATAATTATATATTAACTTACAAAGATCATACAAAAGTTGCCTTTGCTTCTGGCATATGTTTCTCATTCCAGCCCTTTAATTGTTGGCACGTATCCCTGGAAGCCGACGATTTCTTGCATGAACAGATTGATCGCTTACTCGAAGTTGCCCTTAAAATTGGCTAATAACATGCCTGACCTACTTAGTTGAATACCTCCAATAATACTTCAATCAATAACTACAAACTTGCCACAGGATATTGCAAATTTACGACCCCTAATTATGACTTTATTTGTTCAAAATTGTGGGAGATTACTTTCAGATATTATATTTCAGTAATAATGATTCAGTCCCATAATAACCATTTCGTTTGTGTAAGTTTTAATGACTTGCGTCACACATATTTTAAAATTGTTTTGTTTTGAAGTTGAGTGGGAGGAAAAAATTTGTTAAATTCCTGGAATTAAACCCTTCTGGAGCTCATATATTAAATGTCTTGCTAATTTACTTCAAAAACTATCACCTGAATGACCCCCCATACAAATATAGGCGAGTGAACACTCATGTGGCGCTCACCAAAAGGAGGTACTATTCAAAAGTAGATTAAATTCATGATATCTTAGTTTTTCTGGTGTGAAAAGGCTCACCCTACTCTCCTCACTTTCTCTCTCTCTCCATTCTTCCCCCTCTTTCTCTCCCTCCCCTTTCTCTAACCCATCTATCTCTGGCTTTATCTTGTCATTGCAGATATAATTCTGTCTCTCCCATCTTCAATCGAGCGGAGTTTAAACTTTTTTTCTTACTTTTTCTCTTTCCCTCCCACATATCTTCAATCTCTCTTTCTATCTTTCGTTTTCTCTCTATACCAATCTGCTTTCTGAATGTTCATATTTCCTTCCATTCCGCACTTCCATATGGTGTTGCCAGATTCTTCATAACTATTCCAATGATACCCTTGAGATATTACTGGAATGCACAATTCATCTCGTCTGTTTGGAGCCAGAAGGGCATTAACTCTGTAAAATCATACAAGTTTAAATCTTTTTGGCTCCAAACAGATCATTTCATTACTATGACCTCTAGCCCTAATCATGCCAAATGTGAACTTAATTTCCCCATTAAAACATGCATTTATCCATCATCTCGAACTTTCTTGGCTCATTTCAAGTAATATATCATTTTTGGCCATCAAAATCATGACAAAATTGGCAGAATAAAGTGATTTCACTTACCTTATATTCACACTTTTTATGGCAAGCAAATCTACATACTGCAACATAGACAAAATTAGAAAAAAAGAGAGAAATAAGCATTATTAATGGTAATGATCAATTGCGGTATTACCATTGTAATACTTCATTTGGGGGTGAAAATACAAAAGTATCTCAACATGAGCAAAACACCTTTTCACAATTAATTTTTCACTAATCTACTAACATAAATACAATGTAACCGGTCCATTATCAGAAGGTATAGTTTAGATTTGCATAAATTTGATGAATTTAAATGATTAAATTGCAACACCAAATTCACTGTGATTCACATAACTTTCCTGCTGCAAAAGACTCTGGTTTGGTTTAACATAATGTCATGTGGGAGGGAGGAGGGGGCAGTTTGGTGGGCGTGGGGGGGGGGGGAGGAGGGGGCAGTTTAATGGGCGACGGGGGGAGGGGCAGTTTGATGAAGGTGGGAGGGAGGAGGGGGCGGTTCGATGGGTGTGTGTGGGGGGGGGGGGGATGCAACTCACCTCTGCAGATTCTGCCTTCATTCCATATGATCTCCTTACAAAAACCACAGCTATGGGGGTTCCTGAATACCCGGGTCTTGAATGTATGGGTCTTAGACTCTACAGCTTCTGAAGGCTATACAAGAAGAAAAAGAGAGAAGGGAAAAGTAACTGTAAGTGAATCTTGCATTTTTTTAACCATTGTTACAAGGGGGGAGAAATGGTACAATGGCTTCCTGAAGTAACCATGAAGTAAGATTATGATGGAAAATACAGTCTCACAGCATTAAATATAACTTCACACACTGGAAATTAAAGAGTACCAATAACTTGTACGTACTGAACTTATAGGGTAAGAAGTTTATAAGCAACAAAGCAATAAAGCAATGTATGAAAGGCTTCTCATGCTACACCATGCCCAAGAAACCAATCTATTGCATGATAAAAGATCAACCATTGCCACTAATTGGATTTATAGAAGTGCATTATTGTTTTTTTTTTTTTTGGGGGGGGGGGGTATAGCAAAATAAGTTGATACCCCAAGGTAGATTGTAAAAAAGAGAGAAGAAAGAAGTAAAAAATGGGTCATGGAAAAATCAGAACAAAATGTATTACCAACACTTTTGAAAAATTAAGCAGTTTCTATTTTGTATGAAACTGTGATGAATACCGAATTTACATTTTTATTTGGTGCAGTCATACACTGTTTTCTAAATGCAATTACCGGTATAAACAGCTTTCGAGCTTGAGTCAGAAGTTCTGACTTTCAGTACTCTTTGCTTCATGCCGAAACCATCATGAGCGTGTGATTGTGTTTTTTTTCTCTTTAGGCATGTATAAATCGGATCAAAGTTTGGACAGTCTAAACGTTCACAGCCTCAATGAAGATGTTCCTGAGGAAGTTTTGTGACAAATCCTTGAGGTATCTAATGCACGGCCCCCCCCCCCACTCCTGGGTCAGAATGACCGCATGCGTGTTACCAAAATGTCCGGTAAAGGGGTACTTTTCACGCACCAAAGTCTGGCTCGTACATACACAAAATTGACTTAACACCGGACTTAGGGAGTGTTTCCAAAAGGAAGGAACACGCATATGCGTACCCTAAATAACACTGAGTGGGGGGGGGGGGGGGGCGGGATCTAATATAAAAGCTTATTGACAGCATCTGTTCGGAGCCAGTAGGGCATTAACTATGTATTAAGGAATGAGTTAATGCTCTTCTGAATCCAAACAGACTGTAGGCCTAATGTGTCTCCAGACTAATAGGTTGTGGGATGGGATGAGATTAATGACAGTTAGGATTATAACTGTACAATATAAGCTCCTGAAGCTTATCTAATCCTCCTCTATCTCAATGATAAATACCCTAATCAACAGGTAGTAAGCTCATACACAATTATCTGTTCAGTGCATTAAAGGGATATAAGAATGCTATCATACAGCTTGTCCACACACAAAACAATTTATCCCGAAACTCTACAGCGAAATGTCGTATAGGTGCGCAGTTTACTACTGCGATCATGAAATGGAAGCGGAAATGAGAGGTCAGGTCTCCTTTCGCTTGAGGTCACGTTGAGCCCCGCCCAGTTCTAGTTTGATTAGTTATACTAGTTACGTCCATACACAACACATTCCGTGATTAGGCGTGATTCTTTATACGTCGTATAACCAAACAAATGTTTGGGCATCGTTTCGTTATATGACGTATCGTTAGTAAGCGTCCACACACACACAATTTCATTGTATAACTATCCCGAAACGGTACAACTATCCCGAAACGGCCTAATCACAGAAAAATGTGTGTGTGGACACAGGGATAGTTCCATTTTTAGAATAAACATCATTATTTTCATCTATCAGATTTCACTAATTCACTGATAGGATGACAAATATAGTGATAATCAACATCAATGTTTTCACTGTTGTTTTAATAATTAATAATTTGACAATGACTTCATTTTCATTATGAACAGGAAATTGCAGAGTAATTTCGTCTATCAAAGCCTGAGAAAACCTACTTCATTTGATAGCAAGCTGATACCCTAGTTGCACCAACAAGACCATCACCAAACTGAGGACAGTTAGAACAAAAAATTACATTACCAGGAATGGCAAAGAATTGGTCAGTGTACAGAGTCGATCTTGAGTCAGTTTGGCGATGTGATGGACCAGATTGCATGAGGTATGGCTGAGGTTATAGTCAGCTTCAGAGCAGAGCTCTGCTTCATACTTATCATTTGGCCTAATATTTTTTAAGTGAATGAGTGGCATAAAGGTATAGTTTCTCTCAGTTTGACACTGAAAAAAAATATGTAAAAAATAAATAGTTTTTGTGTTTCCGACACCACTCAAGAGTCAAGACATACCTGTGTCTCTCCATACGAGAACATCATACTTTCACAATGCCGACCAATATCACCTTACATTGCATGCATTCTTCATTTCAAAACATCCAAGAGTTCACTGTTATATTCGTGATTGACAACTCCATGGCACGAGCACCCAGATTTCACAGACGATTATCCACAATGTGTAACAGATCAATACTAACACAATTCAACAGCAGCTGTACGTGACACAAAACAAGCTATAGATTCCTACCGCAACATGTTCCAATACTGATCTATAAATACACGAGATTGGGTCCATTTAGACACTTATAACTGTAGGGTCTTCAACAGACAGCAAACATTTTTGTAGAGAAAATTTGAGAAGATGGAACCATTTGAAGTCCAGAAGCTGGGATCTTTAAAAAGTGTGCACTCTATTCACTTCTATGTGCGTTAAGACCAGTCTAGAAAAAAGTGGATCCTTGAAAACTTCTCCAATGCGATGAAGCATATAACTCTGATTTAATCCATAGGCGTTATATATTCCTTGTAATGACTATGTTGAAAATCACTGACATCCTAAGTATAAATCCTCAAGAACTGTTCAAGCTTTCTGCTTACTCGCTCGAATGAATAAGTTTTCACTTTCAAAAACTCCAACTTGACTCAATGAATACATTGAACCAGCACGAGGGGATACTATTCTACGCACACGACTCTAAGATTGTGTTTTGAACACTCCAATTCACAATAAACACACAACCATTTTCCTCTTCTTTTCCCCTTTTCTTCTCTCTCTCTCTCTCTCTCTCTCTCTCTCTCTCTCTCTCTCACATGTCATCAGACTCTCTTTCATATCCCACGGTTTCTTTCTTTTTTGTCCCATCACCGACACTGAAAAGGCTCCGCAAATTTACTTAAAAACCTTTCCATTGTTGACTCAAGCGATGTCAACTGTGTATAGGCAAACGTCCTCAGCTGTGTGCAACAACCCATGCCCATTCTGTTTGCGGACATCAATACAGATCTAGACCGCTATTGAATGGAGCGGCTAATATAGCGTGCAGTTATGAGAATTTGATAGAATTACAAATATGCCCAAACTGCCTATTTAAAGTCTGGATGCTGGGTTTGTGGGGGATAAACCAATTTTCGTATGGGTGAGCATGATTGTCTTTGGATGATATTGGAAGACAAATAGAAGCTAATTGGGCATGTAGATCGTGGGTTTGATGTAAACAATACCAAAGCCGGGTACAGGTCTATTCAACCTCTACTTTGTGAGTAATTAATGGAATCTATCATAATGGGATTTCTGATTGAATTTCTTATATTACCCAATAACTCAACCTCTATTATATTGTGCAAAATATTCTTCTCATTGTAGATACCGGTATTTGGATTTTTCATCGAAGTGTAACCATCATTTTTGTTTTACCAAAGAAATTTGATAGCTTTAAGTTCCTGATCATCTAATGACCAGCTCGCACACTGCATGAAATTCTTGCCCATTGTTTCTAATGTACAAACCAGAGTGAAGATTGAGGAAACAAATGATAAGATGGCATTTCTTTAATAGTATAAAATTGTGACACTTAGACATAAGCCAGATTATATGCATAAGTCAATTGTCTTAAAACAATCGAGGGGGGAGGGGGGGGGAATAAAGTGAGAATAGGGGGCTGAGAGGTAGGGGGGGGGGGGGTTACAGAGCAATGGCCTGCCAGATGTAACCCCACTTGTTATCAGGTTTTTCAAGCAAATCAAATATGAAATTTAATCTTGACAAGATAGGATTAAATCACAAAACAAAACAAAATAAAAAGGAATTTAGTGGATGCAAATGTAGGCCTAGACCTTTCCTCCCTTTTTTTTTGTCAGGAGGGATAATTATGTCGCTTTCTGCGCGTTTTATTTTGGTGTTTGCAGACTCGCAGGATGTAAACATTTGACATCCAGTTGAGATTTCTCCTGCTGAATGATCAATGTAAACCGTATGTGGCAAAGAAATGGTAGGAACAACAACATGAGTTGTCGACAAGTCAAAATGCCATTGGCATCAATATCACTGGTACATTTGTGGGGCGGTTGATTGAATGGTTGGGCATGAGAATAACATGAGATGACCCCCGTTCACATGGTATATATATATATTGTATAGAGGACTTCTCATTGCCGCTGATATTACTACGAGGGGGAAAGGGTGTCAAGAATAAATCTTGATATGATTCATTTAGATGTGATATACATGCAGATTTTGTATCAAAATTGTGGCGATTTATTTTTCAAATTTAAATTCTCTTAACTCAATATTTGTGCTTGATCTTATTCATTTGAAAGAATAGCTAGATTGGTAATAACTGTAAATCTAAGCATATCAGGAGCTCTTGTAGCGCAGTACTAATATTGGATAGTTTCTGCGCTCTATAAATGTATTATTATTATTATTATTATTTCTTTATTTTCAATGAAATTATTTCTGTAGATAAATGTGAAGTTATGATTTTTTTAGTACAGAGAAGGTGAGAGAAATGCTCAAACATACTTTAGGGGTTGCCAATTTTCATTTGATGATGATCAATCACAACTTGAGAAATTAATAACTTTTTTTCCTATTTTTTTAAATTGAATATTTCTAATATCAATAAATCACTGATATGCATCTCTAATATTTAGTTTTAATTTTAACAAAGCCAACTTTTAATAAAGCCAATTTTTTCATGCAATGAAATAAATACACATTGTAAATTATCTACCCCCTCCCCACTTCAAAAGAAATCACTTTGCAATATATACACCTGCTCTAATATCGTTTCCCTGAAGTAAAATGCCATATATACTTCATATGAACACACCTATCAAATATTTCTGGGTAAATTGCCTATTAGAGGAAGCCTGCATCTGTTCACTGTTAGGTCCATTAAGATTGAGAACGTATGTCAAAATGTTTTGTCCATTACAAATTGCTATTTGTGTAAATTGATAGCACAGACATGACAGGTAATACTTGTAGTATGCTGGTATGGTCCATAAAAAGAAAAAAGATAATGTTCCCATAAATAGAATACAATGTCATGATAGACATAACATAGTATTGTAATGAATCATGATTTTAAGAAATCATCAGCTAGGAGCCAGAAAGTTGTTAACTCTTTGTTTAAAAATAGAAATTTAAGTAACAGGCAGTATGTCTGCTAACACTTGAAAACCCACTAAATGTGATATTATAAATAAATATAATAATAGTCTACTCCGTGTTACTGCAATCCTGATTATGATAACACAAAATTTCAACATTTTACAAATTACATATCCCTCCATCTTGAGGAGGCACTGCTTGTACAGCATTTCTTCAAATACCCATCAGTACACATATCTCGTCTGTTTGGAGCCAGAAGGGCGTTTACTCATACACTTTAACACAGAGGCAATGCCCTTCTCGCTCTGAACACACAATGAGAGAATGAGAGGTAGATTGAATCATATTGGACCATAACAAATTGGCTGTTTGTATACTAAGATCTCAAGACGACCCTGGCTATGAGGCTACCCTTAATGCATGTTCACATTCACAATACATTTTGTAAAACCATCTCAATTTAACCACAACTTGCACCCCCTTTCCTTGACGTTTTGCCTCAATTTCTTACTACGAGATCTGAAAATTCAAAACAGTTGGAGAATTTGTTGAGTTCCTACACATAGATGGCCTTGATACACTCAGCTCTGCAGACATATTATGTATGTGTAGATAGCATGCATAAGATGATTACTTGCAAATGAAAATGGAATTTATTCATAGAAATGGAGCCTGCATACCAAATCCCATACTCTGATTATCATTTTCTCTCACAAAGAGCTCTGCATGAAGAGGTTCTAAAACTGATTTTTTTTTCTTCTTTCCCTCCATTATATATTTCATGATGATTCATAAATGAAACAATATCGTCTTAATTAGAATATTGTTCCTATAACAACCATCTAACGAAATGATAAAATATATAAAAACTTTCCTATGTCATACTAAAGTATTGTTATTCGCCCAAGGCTCCTTTTGTGTATAATAAAACTAAATCAATGAGAAAATATTCTGATAAAGAGATTCATTTGCCACAAAACTTTGCAAGTGAAACTTAAAATTGAGATTGAGAGAAAAGGTTGCATATCAAAACAATTTTGCAACAACCAAAAATGCATCCATTTCAGCATAGGCATTCTTTTTCAACCAAAATTGAAGAATAACTTGTCTAAGGTAAACAAAGCTATTAAGAACTGGCATAAAATATTCATAAATTAATGATACACGCCAATAAAAACTAAAACAACATCAACTTGCAAAATAATTTCTAGGTGAAAGTCCACTGAATTCGTGAACTGCATTACAAGACAGGCATAGACAAAATATATTATTACGTTCATATCTATGTCCGTAAGGCAGGATACGAACAAATATGGCATACATACCAAAGTTTACGAGATGATCCCACAAAAATTTAATAAACACCTAAGTCGTACGTAAATTCCAAAAGCGGGACGAAATTCACAACACTGTTGTTCCTAGCTACACAGCACACCCTACACAGAAAACAATCCTGGTTCTGAAATTGACTCGATACTACCACTACTCCAACCAAAGCAAGGTACCTCTAGCTCATATCTGTTTCATTTCAACACAATCAATTTTGATTTCTGACGGAGTCGAGTCGCAGCGAAGGGCAGAGGTATGTCAGACTGTGGACGGATGGAGAGGGATGAGGGAGAGGGATGGCGGAAAGAGAGATGGAGAGTAGAAATGGGAGACAAATACTTAGGGATTCCACAATGCATTTTTATCGCCATAAAACAATTGGGGGAGGGATGAACGCCAAGGGCATATATAGGGAGTGAGGGAATGTCATTTGGAAGGGATAGGTTGAATGAAGGGATAACTTTATAATGGTACCTTTCACCCCCTTTTATCTGTCCATTCCTTCTTTATCACTTCGTGATGATGATACCACTTTGTCATTCTCACCTTTGTAACACAATACCGCAATTATTCTATTAACAAGCTTGGGAAATGTATCATTTGATTTCCTCTTATTCTTATGGAAACCATTTTTGATCATGATGCACATTGTTAAATAACAAAGAATCTAAAATAGTTGTATACACATATACCAGGTAATCCTTATGATAACTTATTAACTTCTGCTCATTTCAGTTTTCAATTAACAACAAGGTCGAACAAGGGTAGCTCTCTCTCCCGAAATGCACGTAAGCTCGTCTGAGAATGTTTTCAAGAAATATCGTCAACCCATGTAAATGTGTAAGCTAGGTGGTACGACCTGGCTGAATGTAAAATCAGGAGATACAAATGTGAACAGTTTTTCTGCATTTTGGGCACATTATTCTGGCATATGGCATATAGGCATTGCAGGATTCTGTGCAAGGACACAACAATTCAATTTCAGATGAGGAGTAACAAGATTCCAAATTGATCTTGACTTTAGAATAAGGAATTATATTGGGACTCTTAAGAGTGGCGAGGGGGTGGGGGAAGGGGGTGAAGAGATGTAAACAAAAATAGTAAAGATGTAGTTAGGGGGATATAGACAGAAGGGAGGATGGGAGGCTGAAAGAAAAGATGTAGAGAGGAAAGACTCATAAAGACATAACTACGGTAGTTGAGAAGGAGGAGAAGGCAGAGAGAGAGAGAGAGAGAGAGAGAGAGGGAGACAGAGATAGAGGGGGGAGAG